TGGTCGGGATCGGTTTGTTCATTGGTCGTGCCCGTATCTACCGAATGTTTCCCAAGCTTCAGCGCCCGCATGTCTCGTAGGTTCAAGCGATTCCACCACCGCCATTTCCTTCTCACGAATGCCCAGCGTGGGAGCACCTTCGCCGTACAATATTCAGCTCTGCGTCTTTAGGCGTAGTGAAGACGTTCTCAACTCCACCGACTCAGTCATCCGTCCACTGTTATTTCAATTTTGTTTTTTGGGCCCCTTATTCTTAGTCTGTGAACGAGGCCAAAGCAAACAGAGTTCGTGGCCGATACGACTTTCCAAAAACCCTCTATTTTTTATCAGCTGTCATCTGCTGCAGCTGAGGCACTTCCAGTTGCCTCCGCTGCATCCCAGCGAACTACGCGCGCTATCGCTCCGTTTTTACTTTACTTGCACGACACAGTACTTGTTAGTTTCGACCTTTTCTAATAAAATTCTTTTCTCGGTCAGTGCTCTATTTTACCATGTCCTGTGTCTGGTTTGCCATCACTCATCTACATTCCTTTGGTTGTGCAGTCACGTCAATTGTTCGGCTCTCGTGGGTGTCTGGTTCCGCAAAGTTGGACCCAACTCAGCAGTCACATCCCGGCAATCGCTTTAGATAATGGGCCAGATGAGAGATTCGTGGCTGGGATCGTATATAAAGCCTATCTCGGCGATGAGAGAGGACCCAGAGCCGTGTTGTTGTGCGTTTAGACGGTATCTTATGCCAGGTTGGCACTGTGCCAAAACAAGTCATCTTAGCCAGTTTTGCCATTAGCTCACGACTGGTGTAAAAGAAGGTAATGAAGTCGGTTCCACAGAGGTCTCCCTCCGTCTGATTCCTGCCCAAGTCCCTTCTGCTCCGTCGTGACAACCGTCTGTGATGGACTAGTTATGAACAGCCTGCATTACCTGTCTTAAACGTGAGACCTCATAGTAAGAGTGCTGCCGCGTACGGGACCAGGTACCGACTGTCGCGACCCGATAGTTGGCGTCTTCTTGCCTCACGAAAGACCCAGTGTTTGAATTTCACCGGCACCCTATTCCTACGTTTTCATCTTGCTTAGATCATTCTTAGCAAAAGTAACTGTCTTCGGCAGTTGACCTGTCTCCCACGACAGACATGTCCCTATGACTCTCACAGAAGACTGTAATCGTCAATTATTGCCTAAGTAGTGTGATCCAGTCCTCGGTTGCCTGTTTTCGGGCGGAGTCTCAACTCGTTTCGGTTATATATGGGGTCATTTTTTGGAGGCAGTACTAAGAAAGGCAAGGTAGACTTAAGTGGGTGTTTCTGAAGTGCGTGCCGTCACACCAGCCGGACGTACTCCGACCGCAGGCCGGAACGACGTG